TTAGGTGACTTCGGAAGTGTTTAATTATTAAAAAAAAATTATTTAATATTTTACTATCAATATTGATAGTTAAAGAGTGGTATATTTGAATTTAAATTAAATTTTCAATTTAAAATGAAAATACCTCCAGATGATAAATATACATTCTCATAATTCTATTTATAGAACATTAAAGGAGAAAGTGGTGAGATTAAATATTAATAAGAGTAATTTTAAAACACATTTAAAATGACCTTATGACCTTCCATTTGAATACATTCTATACACACACACATACACACACACACATATATATATATATATACATACATACATACACACATATACATATACACATACATACATATATACATACATATGCATACATATATATATATATATACATATATACACATATACATACACACACACATACACCTACATACACACACACAATTATATACATAAACAAGCATATAAAAGAACTATACCCATAAACATCCATACATGCATAAACACGTGTCGTAAAATTATGTAAAACAAAGCATAATATATTTTCTAAATAAATCCACATTACAACCAAAAACGTTTGCGGCACCTCTCTTCACTTCTTTTTAATATACATACTTTTCTCTCGTTGGAACCACTACAACCTCTTTCTTTCATATATATATATATATATATATATATATATATATATATATATACAGAACAGTATATATATGGAACAGTTCATGCTATATCCGGTTTAAATTTCTGGGATGATGATAATTACATTTTATATTCGGGCTATTTTCCTTGTCTTTGTTGTTGCTATCAAAACGTTTTGACCTTTGTACCCTCCGGCCTCCCTAAACTATAGATCTGGGTAACCTATATGAAATTCTGAACTGAACAATTTAATTAATCCCCGTGGCTATATTGCTCGCGTTCCAACTGAACAGTACTAAATAAACATAAGCACTAAACGATATCTCTCGACATGAGCAGTGCATAGAACAAGGAGAGGTTAGCAACGCTTTCCTTTGTGACATTAAGATGGACAATTGTTCATTACCAACGACGCTGCGGAAGCGCGTCAAACAACTTATTGGCGCTCAATTTCGTCTTACCTTTATATTGCCATTTTAACGTTCCTATATTTTACAATAGGGTTCCTCCTGTAGAACGCCCGTGGGCGACTCGAGATAGAGGATTATATTAACGGGTAGTTTATATGAATAAGAAGGGAAGATAACGGTTGACTCTTGACTTGAACAGGTTAAGATTGTTGTGATCAGGGAAACATCCTCTTGGGATTTTGTTTCACGGGCCAGTGGTTCGCTGGAAGAAGATTTTTGAGTGGAACTTACTTCTTGCCAATGGAATACGGAGGGAATGTGGGTGCTTTGATGCTATGTAAGTGGCATGGTGGATCCTAGCCGTGAATGTCAGACCCGATGGAACCAGGAGATCCAATTCGTTCGAGCACTTTCCCTTGTAGTAGCAATAGAGCAGCGCTACATCCCACCTTTGTGAGAGAAAGAGGAGGATAGCAAATAATTCTTTTCCAACAAGGGCTCGGAGATGCTTTTGGATTCTATGAAGACTGGAAAGTGAGGTCTGGGCAGCTCACGCCCAAATATGAAAACAGTACTCCATTTTCGGCCTGGTATGACTCTTATAAAAGTAGAGGATAGCATTTGGAGTCAGGTACTTATTGGAGCGGTGTAGGGAGCCGATCATTTTACCAGTATCTGAATGTATCGTATATAGGAGTTCCACTTGAGGTCGGTTGTGAGTTTGAGGCCCAATATCTTCTCAAAGCACGGGACCTCCTCGAGGGGACATTCCTTCCTCGTTACAGGCGTTAGTCCGTGGTTTGATCGGTGGTGATGGAATGTTAACAATTTAATGTTAGAAGCATTGAATGTTATCGTCAACAGTTTTAGAGGTGTGTCCGTATATAGTCGTATCATCGGCATAGATATTTACAAATGATCAGAGTATATTCCTAGTGTCGTGATAATTTACCCACGCACGCATGGACTCTCCCAGCTATAAATAGGAGCAGGTACTGCCTTTTGGAGAAGGAAGTTTCCAGCAGTCAGCTCTGACAGTCGAACCGAACATTCGTGCTGTAACACTCTCGTTTGTATATGTTTGTATTACTGTTTCTGTTAATATATTTGTTTAACTCAGTTCCTCTCTTGTGTCTTTATTTCTGGCCCTAAAAAGGCCACGATACCTAGGTAGATTACCTGAAATCTTTTTTGGGTGTATTTTTAAAGTTAAATATTTTTTCTTGCTTTTATTTTGCCAATGATTCCAATTTCTTTTTTTTATTCTCCTCTGCTCTTTGTTCAAATTTTTCGCATTTTTCAAACTTGGATCCCCAACATTCAATAACGTTATATAATGGTTAACTTTTTGAGGTTATACCTTTCTTACATACCATAGCAATCTTTATTTGTCCTTCGTACGACGTTAAACTACATCTGGCAGCAAGTTTTGAAGAGCGTAGAAACACATCTTAATTGGTGTTGTTTCGATGTTCACCCTGTTCCGCGGTGGTAGCAACTGTTAGTGTTATGGGGTCCACCCCTTTTTCATATAAGTGGACTCGACCAGTGTGTATTTGTATTGCTGCCCAGAGTGAGAGTAGTCAGAGTAGAGAGATTGTGATTGAGTTGGAGGTAGAGTAATAGTGTAAGGTAACCGCTTGTAGAAGTCACAGTTACAAGCACGTAGACTCTAAGGAAGTCCTACTTCGAGACTGAATTTACCAGACTGTATATATATTATTATTGCTACTAACCGTGTTTCTGGATTTACTAACAGTATTACCAATTGTATTATTGTGTAAATACATTTATTTGTTATATTTCATTCCTGCGTTTGTTATTCATATATATATATATATATAGTAGAATTACTAACAATACGTTTAAAAGCATAATGACAATCAATTTTATCTGTAGCTCAAGCCATAAAATTGTGTTCGAAATATTTAGATTTCGGCATTAAATAATCCATTGATGTTGATATGCCGCCAAATAAATCAAAAAAGCAACCTTTACATATATGACATTTAAACATTATACAAATAACTATATTATTATATATACTTATTTACAATGCTATTAACAAGCAATGTGTTGCATTTTAAAATTTCTCATCAATAAATAGGTTAATTTAAATTTTGATTTTATAAGCTGGGATTCACATAGTATATCTATCATAGGTATAAAAGTTTATTATTTTGAAAGCTGAATACACTCTGTTGGTTTTTACAGTATTACATTTTAAATGATTTACGTGACATTTTGTCTAAAATGCGATTGGATTTTCATGAAGAAACACATAAGGGAATTACATACTGATATAAAAGTGATTCTTGTAAAATATGCTTTGAGGTCGATGAGTGGAAATTCTCTTCAGCCGCTAAAATATTTACGGCTGAAAAATCAATATAATTTGCAATTCTTTTACGTGTCTGCGGAATTATACGAAATATTGGAATGTGATAAAAATTGTCTCTATTTCTGTTATCGATGAATGCATATTGTCAGAGGTTCTGACAATATGCAATCGGCGACGCCAAAAATAGACATCTGACTAAGAAGAGAATACACTAAGGTCGCAGGTAACGACACGTCGGATCTACAATGATTCGTCGTTACGACATAACCTCCATTAATCTTGTTTCGAATTATGCGGTTTTCCTCGTACACACAACGCAAACGGCGCGGCAGAAGACTACATTACACGGCGCTGTTGTGAGAAGGACTTCATTAGCAATAAATATACAAGCAACATAAAACAATTTCATTTCATTATATATTTTATTTTCATTTCATTATACGCATTATATTAATATCCTTCATGTGATTTTTAGTCTCAATTGTGTTTACATGTCATAAAAATGTGTTGTTATGTTCTACATTATTACTTTACTATTGCATTAGCATCGGTGAGTGATTTAAGTGCTTATTCACAGAAAATCTCATGTACTGTTGTGGTACGATCCACCTAATTTACATAGTGGAGTACCGACCATATAAATATGGTTGGTACCGGGAAGACGGGGGGAGGAAGAAGAGATCCAATCCAGAGACTCTGCCCGACTGGCGACTAAGTCAACCCATTCTACAGGAACGGTCTTCCCAAGAATATACCAAACTATCTGTAAATATTGTGTACACGTTCTTGTGTCAATACATTTTGTTTAAGTACATTTTGTGTTGTATTATTATTATTCCATGTTTTATTCAAGTTTCAACATGTACGTTCCGACTTACACGGAAAATCGCTTTACGACACATCGTAGGAACGTATGTCGAGGACGTTCTGTATGTTATTTAATGTTAATATACCGATCTAAGATGAAACCCTAGTAAAATCTCGCTTGAGTGTCAATGAATGTTTAGAAGATAATTCTCCGTGGGTTTGATGTTTAATCCTTTCTTCTCGCCTTCCTTCATTACTTCTGCAGAAATTACATAGTTTCCCTTCTGCATCAAAACAGAGTTATCTCCATAACTTATGTTGTTAAGATTGTGACCAGCAATAATGGATCAAGTAGGACTTTTATTTCGCTCGGAATTGGCCTGCTGTATAGATTGAATAAACCTGATGAGAAGATATATCATTGTCTTACATCCTTTTCAATTTTTGTATATTTACAGAATTAATTTGTAGCCATATGCAGGTGATTTTCTGCCAGTATAGTTTCTGGATTATTCTAATATACTTCCACAATCATGTCAAGATTGCTAAGAAGTTTCAAAAGTTGAGTAAGATGTTATTTATCAAACCCTTTGCATAACCTATAAAAAAAGATACCCACCCTTCTGCATTTATCATTCCTACTTCCTGTGTGTTTTTCACGTTTGTCAATCTTCCAAATACTGAACATCACTTAAGAAAGAAAAGTAAACGAAAAAGGAAAGATGACGTTTCTACAGAACATTCAGAGACAAATACGCTTGGCAGCTGCAAGGAGAGACAAAAGTCAAAAGATCTCGATATTCGAAGGGAAGTCAACGAAAAAAAAAAGTAACAAAAGAAAAAGAAAAGTCAACAACAGAAAAGAGGCAGAAAGAAAGAAAAAGGGGACTAAAGCAAAAAAAGGAGACGTTTCTATAGAAGATTCATATATATATATATATATATATATATATATATATATATATATATATATATATATATATATATATCATTGGGAGCTGCAAGGAGAGACAAAAGCCAAAGGAATTCGACATTCGAAGGGAAGACGACGAAAAAGAAGTAACAAAGAAAAGGGAAAAACAGAAAAAAAAGAAGGTAGAGAGAAAAAAAGAAAAGAATACGAAAGCAAAATAGAGACATTTCTACAGAACATTCAGAGACAAATATCTTTGTCAGCTGCAAAGAGAGACACAAGCCGAAAGATCTCGATATTCGATGGGAAGACGACGAAGAGGAAGTAACAAAAGAAAAAGAAAAGATAACAACAGAAGAAAAAGAACTCGGAGAGGCAGAAAGAAAGTAAAGAAAACGGAAGCAGAATAGAGACTTTTCTACAGAACATTTAGATAAAAGTAACTTTGTCAGCTGCAAGGTGAGACAAAAGCCTAAAGAACTCGATATTCGTTGGGAAGACGACGAAAAAGAAGTAACAAATTTAATGAAAAGGGAAAAATAGAAGAAAAAGAAGGTCGAGAGATAAAAAGAAAGAAAAGAAAACGAAATCAGAATGGAGACATTTCTACAGAACATTCAGAGGCAAATATCTTTCTCAGCTGCAAAGAGAGACAAAAGCCTAAAGATCTCGATATTCGATGGGAAGACGACGAAAAAGAAGTAACAAATTTAATGAAAAGAGAAAAATAGAAGAAAAAGAAGGTCGAGGGATAAAAAGAAATAAAAGAAAACGAAACCAGAATGGAGACGTTTCTACAGAACATTCAGAGGCAAATATCTTTCTCAGTTGCAAAGAGAGACAAAAGCCTAAAGATCTCGATATTCGATGGGAAGACGACGAAAAAGAAGTAACAAATTTAATGAAAAGGGAAAAATAGAAGAAAAAGAAGGTCGAGGGATAAAAAGAAAAAAAAGAAAACGAAATCAGAATGGAGACATTTCTACAGAACATTCAGAGGCAAATATCTTTCTCAGCTGCAAAGAGAGACAAAAGCATAAAGATCTCGATATTCGATGGGAAGACGACGAAAAAGAAGTAACAAATTTAATGAAAAGGGAAAAATAGAAGAAAAAGAAGGTCGAGGGATAAAAAGAAAGAAAAGAAAACGAAAGCAGAATGGAGACATTTCTACAGAACATTCAGAGGCAAATATCTTTCTCAGCTGCAAAGAGAGACAAAAGCCTAAAGATCTCGATATTCGATGGGAAGACGACGAAAAAGAAGTAACAAATTTAATGAAAAGGGAAAAATAGAAGAAAAAGAAGGTCGAGGGATAAAAAGAAAGAAAAGAAAACGAAATCAGAATGGAGACGTTTCTACAGAACATTCAGAGGCAAATATCTTTCTCAGCTGCAAAGAGAGACAAAAGCCTAAAGATCTCGATATTCGATGGGAAGACGACGAAAAAGAAGTAACAAATTTAATGAAAAGGGAAAAATAGAAGAAAAAGAAGGTCGAGGGATAAAAAGAAAGAAAAGAAAATGAAATCAGAATGGAGACATTTCTACAGAACATTCAGAGGCAAATATCTTTCTCAGTTGCAAAGAGAGACAAAAGCCTAAAGATCTCGATATTCGATGGGAAGACGACGAAAAAGAAGTAAGAAATTTAATGAAAAGGAAAAAATAGAAGAAAAAGAAGGTCGAGGGGTAAAAAGAAAGAAAAGAAAACGAAATCAGAATGGAGACATTTCTACAGAACATTCAGAGGCAAATATCTTTCTCAGTTGCAAAGAGAGACAAAAGCCTAAAGATCTCGATATTCGATGGGAAGACGACGAAAAAGAAGTAACAAATTTAATGAAAAGGGAAAAATAGAAGAAAAAGAAGGTCGAGGGGTAAAAAGAAAGAAAAGAAAATGAAATCAGAATGGAGACGTTTCTACAGAACATTCAGAGGCAAATATCTTTTGGCAGCGGCAAGTAGACACAAAAGCCGAAAGATCACCCCATTCGAAGTGAAGACGACGATAAAGAAATAAAAAAAAGAAAAAGAAAATGGAACTCAGAAGAAAAAGAATTCAGAAAGGCAGAAAGAAAAGTAAATGAAAGAAGAAAGGAGACATTTCTACAGAACATTCAGAGAAAAATATCTTTGGAAGTTGCAAGGAGAAAAAAACATGCAGAAGGCAGAAAAAAGACAAGAAAACGAAAGCAGAATGGTGACGCTTCTACAAATTTATCTCACCTCAGTTTCTAATATTTACCTGTCCTGTCAACCGTTTTTTAATGTCTAACTAGTAAAACGGCGGTGCCTGTGAATTTTCTATCTCGTTAACTTCTTTTGACAGTCGTATGAATTCAAGAATTTAGCATAATGTTGATACCATTTTTATGAACCTTTCATTATTGCAGTTAGAATTTGTCTTGCCTAATTATTTCCCTGTCATCCAATGAAATAAATTTATTTCAAATTTCACTTTGGATTAAGATTATTTATCTCTTTTCGAACCATTCGTAATCCTCAAGAGATTGGGTGTTCTCTCTTCGCCGCTCGCACACCAATCTTTTTAACACACGATGTAAGATGGCCGATACAATTTAACATTCACTATGCATAGTGAAGGTAAGCGAAGCATGACATCAGCAAGAAAACCCGCTTAAAGAATTTATCTGGATGGATGACAAGTCGCAATATGGGATTGTATAGCGTCAAGAATTAAAAGAAAGTGAATGGCACATAAAATAAAACAGATAATACTAATTCACGATCACAAAACCTTTTACAAAGATTTTATAAATTCCGGATTAGTAGGCGTCGGTATACCTTGCGAAAGTAGGTCCCAATTTCGTCAAAATTCAGTACCTTGGTGGTGAGACGAGAATGAACTATTCAGAGCGCTGAATTGGGCGATACGTATATGCAGGCCGTGCGCTGTGAATACCACATGCCCCCTCTCGGTCGATCTGACAAAATCTAAAGAACTCTAGATTATTACATTTGGGACCGACTTGGCTGCAGGAGTTGCTGGAAGGTTGTCCGTTTTGACAGCCAAACGCATTAGATGGTTCACTCCGATTTTTCTATCTCGATTTATTCCTATAGCCTTTTCCGCATTTATTCAGGATTATTTAGATTAAAAACTGTTACGTCGTCTAAACGACCCTTCGTGGCCACTTTTATGATGTCAACGTGTACTTGCTTGATACTTTGATATACCAACGTAATAGAGACTTTGTAATCTCAGATACCAATTATAATACGCCTTTGAATAATACTCGTATCAGAAGTCTTAGATGAATACTCGTAGTAATAGTATTTCGTGTAATGAGGAGAGAATAGGCATCCGAATAGGATAAGGGATAGGAGATAAATAGCGAATACATATAATAGAGAAGATAGACTTGGGAATAGCGGGCACACACCTAGGCGTCACGCGACTTCCTCTCTGTATACGTTTTCTCTATGGTCAGTTTAATGAGATCACCTGTGTTTTTTTACTGGCGATCTATGTCCAAACACCAGCAGTACGCTTTATTCCTACATAACGAAAACATTACCTTTATATTAATAAATTTCTTAGTTTAGTATCTGAAACAGTTAAGTGGGTCAGTCACAGCAACAAGAGCTGATACAATTTTTTCAGTCACTTTTTCCCAAAAGTATCAATATTTCATCTTTTTTTTTTTTAAATACATGTTTGGATTTTTGTTTATAGACACTCGAAAAAAATATTTCTGCTAAAGAAAAAACCCCAAAAGAAACAACCTTCCTGGTCATCATCAATCTGCGCATCTTGTCAATTGAATGGCTTCTTCCACACCATTTATCATGCGAAGCATCTCTTGAGCAATGTAAATCAGGTCAGACTACAGTCGATGCCTTCTTGTAGCCGTGGTCGTCGAGTTAATCGTGGGAACTCTCCGCTCTGGACGGTGGCATCAGTGGAGGGAAACCTTCGTTCACTGACGCCGAACCATCCCCTTCCTGGTGTAGTCGTATAAGGTTCAGATTCATTGGAATAAATGGAGAATCGTCAAATATAACAATTATTATTATTATTAGCATTAATATTATTCTTACACTGCTTTAAAATAATTGAGAAAATATAAAAATAAACAATATATATATATATATATATATATATATATATAGCAGGAGAGCCCAGCGTTGCCCGGGGATGTAACTGTAAGAGATAGATCAAGTATCGACCATCATAAAGACTGAAAAATAAAATTGACAAAGATTATTGTTTAAGGTTGACGGACACGCATGTCTTAATTAGTTTTTTTTTTTGTTTCTTTTACGAATTGGTCAGACACAAACTCAAACAAAAACATTGTTTTCAATCGTTATGAGTCTATCCATTGAATAGAATTTTATTATAATCAATTGTCTTGTAAATGGAATTTTTAAAGCATTCTGAATGTAAAAGTAAAGAAAAAAGTGTGCAAGAAAATAAGAAACACTACCTGCCAAAAAAAAATAAATAAAGTTTTGTTGAAATCGGTTGAAAAATGTAGGAAATCCGAATCCATATACAAACGAACACACACAAACAAACTATAACTCGATATGAGTTGTCCCCCTTTCATTCTCGTTATGCCTCTTCATCGTGTTTTCAAATTGATTTCGTGCAAAAACAATTGTGTTTTCCAGTTTTTGGCGCTGTCAGAACCACCGCAAGGTAATTTTACGCAGTCCTGTGAAGTTTTGTTGAAATCGGTTGAAAAATGTAGGAAATCCGATCCAATATATAAACGTATAAACGTACACACACACACACACACACACACACACACACACACACACACACACACACACACACTCTGCGTTTTATAATAAGATATAATAGAGTTATTAATAAAATCCATTACTTTTTTTTAGAAATTGCATTTTTTAAATTTTCATACGAAACTCAGCAGATATGTTTCGAGGAAATCTGAACAAGTCAGTGTTATTTAAAGTAAAGAAAAAATAAATAAAAAATTTCCTGATTGTGACGATCATCGTCGCCGCACGTAAAATCAGATGGTGGTTTCTCGTGCAAAGCGGGACGCAAGTTCAAATCCAGACTGAAGGCACATTTTCTTTATTAAGTTTTCCTGAGTATGCAGGACGGTAAAAAAAATTTAAGTACTGTTTTTATCAAGCGGAGCCCCTGCTAAAATACTGGTGTCTAGTAAAAATAACGTTTTAAATAATAATAATAATAATAATAATAATAATAATAATAATAATAATAAAAATGATGATGATGATAATAATAATAATAATAATAATAATAATAATAATAATAATAACATTTACATTTAGTAGATTCTGTAGTAAATCAAAACAGAAGCCAAGAACCAACTATTCAAAAGATATGAAAAAAAAGCCAAGGATAAACCCTTGAACAGATGAAAAATGGCAAGACAAACCTAGGCATGGACAATATCCAGAACGTGCAAAAAACCATGTTGATAAAGTTAAAATCGATGGTTACGAGCATCTGGATTAAATCTGAAATGAAGGCTTTATTCTTGCGGAGACCAGAGTCTTTTCACAAGGAATTTTCAGGCAAAATCATACATAAAATGGATCCAAAAGAGGTTCTGTGACAAATACCAAGAAAAATAGACCAAAATCTCAGGAAATTGAAAATGAATATAAAAAATCGTCACCAGTGGGGTAATACTTACACTGGACAATGTGCAAACACTTTGGAAAATGGCAAACACAAAAACATCGGCCAGCGCCGGTTACAGAAATAGAAGATGTCACCATTCTATGGGATTATACCATCCACACAGAAAGAAAAATTGAAGCAAATAGGCCGGACATTATTGTCAAAAACCAGAAAGAAAAAAATTGCCTACTAATTGATATGGCTTGTACGGATTGTAACATAGCAACCAAGAATTTGAAAAACTATCAAAATACAAAGACCTGGAAATTGAAATAGAAAAAATGTGGAAATTGAAAACAAGAATAAAAAAATAGGTGCACTTGGAATTATAAAAATGGAACAAAACAACACATTGAAAGAATCCTGAAACCCCCTTAAGAGACATACAGAAAATTGTCTTATTAAGTACAGCACCACACTAAGGAGAACTTTGTCTATGTAAGGTAGCAACTTCACCGAAATGTCCATAACAACACCACGAAAGGTCTTTCGAACTTGAGGTAGTGTGTCCATAGCAGAAATCGAATGATGATGATGATAATAATAATAATATAGAAAACAATCATCAAAAATCATGAAAGGAACTATTATTATCAGTGGAGTAATGGTTCGTGGCTTGGATTGAAGAATAGGAGAGCCGAGTTCGAATTCCAGTCGAATCCATTACATTCACTTACATGCTAATACCCTTGGGAAAGGTGTGAATCCTCTTCTTCTCCCCCAGCTATCGGTAAATAGCACGAGAGGCTAGGTTATATAGCCTTGGATGACAACTAGTATAGGAGAAGGGAAACTCTGAATTCAAAACCTGCGGAGGGTCGTTTGGGGACCTTGTGGCACGTAGTGCACAAAGTCTCTGTATTCGACCCTTCAAAAACTGTGGATGGTTCTGCACAAAGCCTTCACCATTATAATCAAATCTCATGTTCTAGTGTCGGGCTGTCAGTTTCCTAGGAACTGATCTGCTTGACCCTCATGCGTCGAATTCGATGGGAGAGTTATATATATAATTTATTTATTTAAGGATCCTACATGGAAAACATGCTACTATAATTGTGTTGTCAACAAGTATGTAACGAACAGGCTCCAGTAGCTTTGTCTGGCTTTCTAGGTTTAACTAGGTCTGCTCTACTTACCGTATTGAGTACTTTATTTAGTTTTTTTGCTTACTCGTATCGGTTTTTTTTTCTTTAGACTTTGGACTTGCATGCTAGACGATTATTTTCGGCTAACGTACATGTTCTTGGTTTATTTCTTTTTTATACCCCTTTTTCCCTTGGGTATTGGTTTGGTTATTCGCAAATCAAGGCACCGAAGGTTTTCGAACAGTGAACGAGTATAATTTCTTATACTTATATATATATATATATATATATATATATATATATATATATATATATATATATATATATATATATATATATATATATATATATATATATATATATATATATAACATTGAAAACG